TTCCCATTCATCGTTTAAAATTCCCATTATTCAAAATGTTGATCTCTAAATGCAAGAAATCAAATTTTCATGAGGATACGTCATAAAGCACCCTTCTGTTCTCACATCCCCTTCCTCAATTATTTTACACTTTGAAAGACCAAACAACAAAGAAGGTTTGTTTGCATGAAACAATTTAATTGCATCATCAATGTGAAACAAAAGGCCCATGGGCCTTATAGGTCTCCTGGGCATAATGCAACAACTTTCCAGTGATTGAATTTGATTCATGTTTTAAGCCAGATGCTATTGCATTCACAATTTTAAAAGAGGCCCCATTGATCATTATAACTGTACATTTAGCAGATGCTTAGTTTTGTTATTCAATACCCATAGGCAGGGTAGGGGAACAAAAAATGCATTTCACCAAATCGTAATATTCAGCAATAATCAGTGCCCCTACCACACATGAACCCTTGATCTTAGGCCTAGATCCACACAATGCACTATTTTTTAAATGACATCCTTGTTTTTCAAAAATATTTGATTAATACCAAGGTGCAGATTTCAAAACAATTCATTCATTTCTAAGTACATCCCCCTCTATGGCACCCCTGACCCTGGGGCCTTGAAATTCACAATTCTGGAAGATTAGGGCCCTTACTCATAACTATATAGGTAGTTCATCTGCTTAATATCAGGGCTTTCACCATAGGTTACTCAGGTGACCTAAAAAGTACCTTACATGAAATAAGATAAAAGCCAAGCGTTACTTAGATAATTCCTGTTGTTACATTGTTGTATATATATATTTTTTTCATTTTTAACACTTTAACAAGGACATCACTCAGTATTTGTGTCATATATAGCTGTATTTAATCACTCAGTATTTCATATTTTGTCAAATAAACTTCAGTATAGAGTCTGTTTTCTAATATGTATTCTGAAAAAAATCTGCTCAATTTGCTCAAGGAAATGAAGGCACTAAGTCTCTATTTAATAACTTATATTTTGATATTTGAAAGGGGGCAGAGGTTGAAGATCAATAAATAAATAGATTAAAAGACAGCAATATTTTAAACATAATGAACCTAGCTCTTTCAAGATGCAAAAATTAACGTGTAATTATCAGGAAAATGTATCTTTTAAATTGTATGTACAGTGTATACGTACATGTATGTATTCCCTAATAAATGTAGTGTACTATATGTATTTGAAAAAAAGTGAATGAAGACAGGCTCGACAGCTATCGTTGAAGATGCACCAGAACATTTACATATTGCAATTAGTGGTTCAAATTATGTGAATTTTCCCTATTTGTAGGTCAAGCGGACAGTGTTCGGTGTTCTCTGTGTGGGACAGGACTACGGAACTGGGACCCCGAGGATGACCCCTTGGTGGAGCACGCCCGCTGGGCACCGGAGTGTTTCTTTGTCAAGGACAAGAAAGGACAAGATTTTATCAACCTCGTACAAGTCGCAGTACGGCAACAGCAAATGTTAGAGTAGGATTTAAATTCTCTCAAATTACCTAATTCCCCTGCTCAAAGTGCAGTTCTTTCATTGCAGAGGACAGAGAATAAGATATCTTTTTCAACTTTTCAGTGTCATTTACACTTCATCAGGAAATTAATTAAAAGATAAATTTATGAAAAATGACAGGAAAGAATGCAGTAATTGAGAAACATTTTTTCTGATCATGATCATGTCCATGTATGAAGCTCCACTGAATCAGATACTTTAATTGACAAATAGTTTCATGATATCGTGATATAAGTTCATTTACATCAAATGGATATCAGAGGCATACATTTCCTGTTTCTTTTGAACTGAAAGCACAGTAATTATTATTGCTCACAGGCCTGACTGTGTATATACCGGGTATAATCATGGTATGCATGATCACACCTTCAGAGTTGAACATTGTGTTGAATTAATTTCCAGATATATTTTTAAAATGACCTAATCATGCTAATTTAAGAGATGATTTATGGAACTTGGGGACAAAAAAATATGAGTTGTATTTAAAACTTAATGATGTATAATAAATTGCTATATTTACATAAAATCATTGTGTAAAATAGAAATATTACTTAATGACTACATTATATACACTTTAAAGATAGAGGTCTGAAAGAGGTATCTATTCATTATAAAAGATACTTCTGATTAGTGTAAGAGTAGTTTTATACAAAGCTAAATCATCTATAAATAACAGCGGTGAAGTCCCAAGTCAAAATGAACTGCTTATTTTAGCAGTTTATAAACAGTTATTAGGCAGTCTGGCAATTTTTTTGGCAGTTTTTAGGCAGTTCTTAACAGTCTCAGTCTTAGCATTCCTTAAAACTGCTTACAGACTGCTTAAAAACTGCTAAGAATTTGTGTAAGCAGTTCAGTATTGAAGAAACTTAAGCAGTCAAACAAGCAGTTTCTCAAAACTGCTAAAAAACTGCCAAAAGTGCGACTTTTTACTGAGCATGCTCAATCATAACTTCCTTTATTTGAATATTAAATTGGAGGGATTCTTGGTCATGAGCTAAGTCAGTGTGTCATTTTGCTCTATTTAAAGGATATTTAACCAATAGATGTCAGTTGGAATTGTATTTATGTCAGTCTGGGATAATTTCTTCACTTTTCAACTAAATGCAAGTGTAATCTATAAATTAGTCAATTTTTCAATTTTCATGATCTTCCTGTATTGCAATGTTGACAATGAACATGATGAAATAGTTTAGGCTTATTTGAATGACTTTAGTTGGACTTTCACTAATGTGACATCACTGTGCTTATTAGAGTGAAAGTTTTATTTATACTAAATTCTTCAGCTTGTGCAAACTTATAGCTACTAGATTAAATTACAATTGAATTGAATATTGTACATTAAGATGCCACTGACGTTTATGCAAGAAAATGGACTTAATGGAAGGACTCATTTACAATTCATACCTTAGATCTTTATCTCAATAATAAGTCAAATTCCCATATATGATGTCATTTTTTCAATAAATTACCCTGCCGGAAGCAAAAATTATATGCATATTTGTATTCATATATCATGTATATGGGTGGTGTTATGTTCTTGAAAGTAGACAAGAATAGTGCTTATAGCATTCTTTTTACCATGCAGTTTTTAAGCAGTTAATAAATTTTCAAATTTATATGTAGGTCACTCAGAGTCATTTCCATATATATAAGTAGTGCAAACAAAAGAAACACCTTAGCAGTTATTAAGCAGTTTTTAAGCAGTTCTCCTTAACCTTCCTATTGATCGACTGCTTAGATACTGCTAAGGAAACTGCTAAGGAACTGCTAAGTTACTGCTAAGGAACTGCTAAGTTACTGCTAAGGAACTGCTAAGTTACTGCTAATGAACTGGCTAAGTACTGCTTAAAATGTGGACTGCTAAGGAAAACTGCCTAAGGAGAGAAGAAGGCTAGTAAACTGTCTAAGAACTGCTAAAGCACTGAACTGTTAAGGTAAAAAAACTGCTAAAGAACTGCCTTCCACTTGGACTTGGGGTATCAGGAACATAAATAATTCTGGGTTTTATCATATGTTAACAAGGCTTTCTAAACCAGTACTATACATAATATTTAAAAAAAAAAGGCTTATATCTGTGGCAAAAATGATGATAAGTGGAAAATATAGCAGGAAGGCAATTCTGCCATTCTTATTAAGAAGATGTATGCAGTAATCAACACACTGCATGAAGATGTCGGATAAGGCCTAGAAAAAAACATGTTTGTTTCCGCTTTCCCGACCGACCCCACATGTAATTTATAGTGCTGACCCTACAAAATTTTTAATGCTTTTGTTTCATGATGTGCAAGATTTCACCAAGGGAACTAAAGTCTCCAACTCTGCAAGCTTTCAAGACAAAAAGAAGTTTGTGTCACCTTTCTATAATAAGTTTAAGTCACAGAAATGCTTGAAAACACCATTTCTTTTGTCATTAATGTTTCATCTATACAAATTTTGATTAAAGAAGCAAAAACAAAAAAAAAATCAAAAAAAAAAATTGCCTACCTACCTACCTACCCTATATTTTGTCAGCTTGAAAGCGGAAACAAACATATTTTTTTCCTAGGCCTATAGGCTAGACTTTATGACACCTGATCCAAGCTTTAAAGTTGCTAATCAGTAAAGAATATTATATAAGCTGAGAGAATTATTTTCATTCTGTTATTGATTTATATCCCCAGTGCAATTCCATAAATAATACAACAGATGAGTATGGTGGAGTTGCACAGTAATCTCCCATTGCAGTAAAATTGATCATCTATAAAAGGAGTCAAGCCGCAGTGCGACAGACTTTATCATTTGTTATATTGCTGAAGCTGGCACAGCAGTGGTATGCCATGTTTACTCTGTTATGGAAAACAATTGGTTTGGCATTTTGGCAGAAGATATTTTTAGAATGAATCATAAGCTGTTCATGTGTTTTTCCCACCTCAGATGTGAAGGTTCAGGTTATGCACGTAGATCTGAGAAGCAAATTAAAATTGTGATTCACCAGTCAGTCTGTCTGTCTGTATTTTTTTCTCTCTGCAAAGAAATCTTGGTAAAGTCAGGACATAATATATAGAAGTGGAGATATTTGGAGGTCCATTTACAAACAAGCTTCCAAGTCAGATCAAATAGAAAGGTCAAAGGTCAAACATGAATAGACTCACCAAGTTGTAGTAGATCTAGAAGGATATGGAAATAACGAACAGTATTCAATCTCAACATCCATTAAACAAATATACAAAATAAGAGCAGAGCAAACACTGACCCCCGAAACATCAGAGGTGGGATCAGGTGCCATGGAGGAGTGAGCATCCCCTGCTGACCGGTCACACCCGCCGTGTGCTCGTTGTCATAATCAGGAAATAACGGAAAAAATCCGTGGTCAAATCAGTGTATAAATAATGGACTAACAATTGGTATGAAAAACGTCAGTCAGCATTTCATTCAATGATAAATTGTATTTGCTGACAAGGTCATTGTATCGACCATAGAATTTACGAAATGAAACCTTCATTCCTTTCCTCTTATATTTTAATATTTCATGAGGAATTCTTTCAAAGAATCGGTACCGTATAACATGTAATGCCCACAATGTAGTCAATATTATCATCGCTACATCATTTGATTATATTAACCTATAGTGAATCATTCATAGGTTAATTTTATTAACAGTTTAAGGCATGTTAAACTGTGAATGTGTTAATGACAGCAACTAACATTTTAAATATACGTTTCTTTGTGTTTTGTAGCAAGAAGCTCTACAACAACAATCTGATGCCATGACGAGGGAAGCCACCAACATCGCGGCTGACTGTGTACCTCCCAACATTGACACAGGTATGACTAGTCTTCTGTGTTGTATAAGGCTATATTGTACACAGAGGTGATGGTATGTCTTAATGCATACCTATTAGAATAGGATGTTGCATGATAGACAAGAAAGAAAAAAAACTGTACATGCAGCTACTGTAGATCAGTAAATTTTTGCGACACCTTATTTTCGCGAGATAGTCATTGAATCTTGATTAGAGAGACAAAATTTTCACGAATTGTGGTTATTGCTATATATATTCTTAAGGAATACTATTATACATGAGAATTAAATTTATGCGACTACACTGTCTTGCATAACTATGCAAAAATAAAGTTTTCGCAAATAAAAAGTGATTTACAGTATATGAAATAGTGTTGAAATAAAGAGTGCCAGTATTGGGAGTGATTGAATTAATGTACAGGATAGGTACATGTACATTTGTAACGGGTGAGGAGGATAATACAGTGGACCAGAACGGGATTTGAATCCAGTCCCCCAGAATCTTTGGTTGAGTGCTCTACCAACTGATCTAAATGGCCACCATTGTTTGATCCGGCTGGTTGCTTCACATTAAATAGAATTATATGCTTAATACTGTTATTGTAATATAATTTACTATTCAATTAAGACACCACATGATTGTTCAGAATTTATAAAAGTGTCAAAGTCAAATAGTTAAATCATAATTAAATATTAGGAGAAAAAAATTCTACCAGTGAGAGATTTTCCAAAAGCTTTAATGTCTCGTATTCGACGGTTCATTTGAGATTTTATGTTTAAATTATACATGCTTACACGTATGATGTAATTACGTATTGTAGGAATACAGAATAATACAGCAACCAGCAGTCAGTCTTTGTCATCCGGTCGTAAACCTCCAACAAACGCCGAGAAGAAAAACCCTCTACTGAGTGACGCGGCTCAGAGTGTCCTGGCCATGGGGTACCTGCCCAGAATCGTCAAGATGGCAGTCGATAAAGTACTGCAGGCTAAAGGTAGGATTGTAATTTAAACTCATACCGAGTTCCCATGGTAGAGAAATTTTGGAAAAGGGGGCTTGAAAGACAACAAATAAGATATCCATTTTGAATTCTTATTTTTCTTGATGGTTAAAGGGAGATAACCTTCTTTGAAATTCTGAAGAAATTTGAAACATTGATTCTATAGTTACTCATTTTTTGAATATACATCTAAATTCATATTTATAATTGAGAGTTTCTATCTTCTAATTTTATTTTCAACATGAACGACAACTGTAATTAACATCTATCAAAATCAAATTGATTCATTAAGATTTTCATTTTGTAAATAGCTTAATGTTAGATAAAATTATTTATAATGTAACAGTACATATGCAATGGTATACGCTTGTATGAATCTTTGAAGTCATTTTAAATACAGGATTTCGTGGGGGAGTTCTTGATAAACCATATAAAATACAAATCAATTTTTGTTTTTGATTGACCGAGGTTTAATATTTTTCTTTGAATAAAACTATGAAGTAATTGATATGTAATATTGAGAAGAGCGGCACATGTCACTTTTAAATTACTGTGCTGTAATCCTTAAAGAGATTGATTACATACATTTATGTAATGTTTTAATATTCTTTGAGTTGACATTTTCAGCAATCAGTTTTTTCTTTATAAACAAGTGCTTGTGAATCCATTCATTTAGTAATTTACTGGTTAAAGGATGATAATTCGACTTTTGTACTAAAATATTTTCATATTACCCAGTGGTGTATATTTACCTATGATATTAATTGATATTTATGTTTAATTTTAACTGATTGATTCATTAATTAAGGCTGGGATGGCATGTCTGGATCAAACATTGCTAACATTATTTTCGACATGGAAGAGTCCGGTGAAATCGACAAAGAAAATTCCATGGTTCCTAAAGTCTTGTCGGACAGTTCCTGGAAGAAAATCAACGACAGAGTACCGGATGGTGATTTATTTTTTAATTATTTTCATATTTAATTACACTTTCAATTGCATATGAAGTCAACAGTGCTTTGCACATCTGAATTTTAATTTTTTCCCTAAGATTAGGCATACATTGGTAAATAAAAAAATATTCAAATTTGCATGAAGGCTTAATTTTTTTTATGTCAAAAATCTTTTTTAAAATCAAATTGAGCAAGGAAAAAAGCAATTAACCTGATGTTAATTATCCATGTTAATAAACCTTAGAAGTATCAATTTTGTGAAAATGAATAATTTGTGCTACAGATATCAAAGAGCTTACACAGAGAAACAGTGAAATGCGAGAGAGGACCATGTGTATTCTGTGTTGTGAGGAGAGGGTGTCGATTGTTTTTTTACCCTGTGGGCACCTGGTCAGTTGTGCTCAGTGTTCACCCGCTTTAAAAAACTGCCCAGTGTGCCGAGAATCTATCAAAGGGACGGTCCGTGTATCATTTGCATGAGTTGGTCAAACAAAATGGAAAATAATCACAAAAAAAACCAAACAACTCAGAAAATTTATCTATGCAATTCAAAAAGAAAAAAGAAAAAAAATAATGTATACATATATGTTGCAATAATTGTCGTTAGATTATTAGATGGTAATTTTAATTGGAATTTCAGTTTTTTTCTTAGGAAGGGGGGTTTACATTTTTTTCCTCTATTAATTTTTCTTTTCTGGAATTCAACTTTAAGATATTTTATCTCATATATGTTTTCTGCAAAAAATTGCTTTTTTAAAAATATTTGTTTAAAATTATTTGAGGAAAATGGTGTTTTATTTAAAATTCATATTACCAGGTATTTGAAACTAAGAAAAGCAACACTGATGAGGATTCAATATCCGAAATATGTATATATGTCTTCAACTGATTCAAATAAGCAAATGTTTGATAAATGCATAAATCATTTTAGAAAGAAGTACTTGTATTAAAGGAGAATTATTTAATCATGTAATTTTTTGTTTGACCAACTCATCACTACAGCACAAGATTTAGGGGTCATAATATATAAAACCTATTCATTACAATAGTTTGCTAAATTGAATTTTAATAGTCATTTTGTATTATAAAAATATTTTTTTTAGAATTCACTAGAAACATTTAACATTTTAAATACTTGTGTTTGAAGCTATACCATATGAATAAGGGTCAATGGAATTTTATTTTTAAAGAAGCAAGATTTGAAAACAAACGAAAAAACAAGTTTTCATTTATGTTTATATTCCTGTACATTACAAATTTTTAACATCATTTTAATTGATCAAGTTAGATCAAGCACAACTTACATATGTGCTACTTGTATTTATAAAGTAATTTGAGAACTGTACAGCACATATACACATATTTACTACATGTACATGCAATTGCATGTAATTGTACAAGCATATAACCCATTTCATACAATTCAATGTACATATTTGTATATATGACATACATGTGTATAAATTTCTGTTTAGCTTATTATTATTATACAAGGTACAGAAAATTGGAGGAAAATATTATATAAATTTGGTTTAAATTCAAATTCTTTTTGTTGTGTATTGTGAAAATCAACTTTTCTACATTTACATTCAACTTCTGGAAAAAGAAAAAGAAAATCTGCTTGTATTGATTTTGGATGGTTAATTAGGTTTCATTTATTGAAGATACCATTTTATTTTCCTAAAAAAAAAAAAGAAAAGAAACGACATATTGCTTTATTTTAAGTTCATGTACAAAGCTCTGTACATTTGAATTTAGTTTTACTCATTTTTTTTAATATCACATTAGAGTCAATATCTGTATTAATAAATGATTTTCAGTTTGTTCCTACATGCGATCCTTTAATCCTTATTTTATTCCAGATCCTTTAGTTGAAAAAGACCATTAAAGTCAGAATAAAATATTTTCAACATGGCATGCTTCAGTATATAAAACGGTTGCCTGTCGTTCTTTGGGGTAGAAGCTATAGGTTTGTATTTTATGTTTATCTCTACTTTGCAAAAAGAATGGTAAATGGCATTATAGATGACCTACTTTGTAAAAGATATACACATCCGTATATTACTAGTATAAAGTTTGCCCAAATCTTGGGGGAAAATGCAAGTTGGTCTTTCTTAGCGTAAATTAGATATTTTAGAAAATTCATTTTTTTTTTTGGAGAATGGTCAAGATGTAGGCGTACTTCTTTCCACGGGGTCAGAAGTCCGCGGTATCTCAATTTCTGTTAAATCCGCTGGTAGAAAATTACTCGGATTTTTATTAAATATGACAAATATTCTTTAAAAATGTACATATATACACTTGTCCCCTAACGGTTTCTCATAGATATGGTGGGGGGGGGGTTAAATAATTTTGGACTGCTTAACAAATAATTATAATATACAAAATTAATTTGATATTGTGTTATGTGCTGGCAGTGTTGGTTTTACGCGCAATAATTACCCAATCTATAACTGGAAGAACATAGAACAAAAAAAAATCAAGTTAGCACAAAAAATATATGTTTTAATTGAATATAAAATACATCACTTAACCAGGAAATTGCTGAAATACTTTATGTTAAGGCATCCACCCCTTAGACCTTGTATGTAGATGCAGATTATCTTTTCTTAAAACAATCTTCAATATTCTGATATGATTACGTGTACATAGATCACTTTAAAGTGGGAATGCTTTTATCAGGAGCATTTTTGTAAAAATATAATTCCCTATGCAGTAATATATATATATATATATATATATATATATATATATATATATATATATATATATATATATATATATATATATATATATATATATATATACCGTGGAGGTTAAATTGAACATACAACACCTGTTCATATACAAAAATTCAAATATATCAAAATATAGGTTAAATTAATTGTTAAAATGAAGGATCAACCACTTTCCTTGAAGACATAGTCAAGAGAAGACAAACATTAGATGGTGTTATTTAAAAATCTCGATAACCAATTGGACAGAAAAGCTGAAAATATTTGAAAGCATCCAACTGAAACGTATGTGGAAGCATCCAGGACTAGTTTTCAAATAATGACCAGGGGCGGGCAAATATATATATATATATATATATATAATGTAGATCCAATTTTCACATAGAAATATACGCCCCGGATCAATCGAATCGTGCATAAAAATCTTTCATAAAAACTTCTTAAGATCCGCTGGGTTAAAAAAGCTGAAATCGAAGTGGAAGTATCCTGAAGAAGTATAGATTCTATACAGATTATATATATATAGATATTATAGATATATATATAGATTTTATATATATAGATATTATATATCTATATATTGTATAGACAAAAAAGAATGGAGGCGTACAAGGCGAGGTCAATCCCCCGCTCTGAAAAAAGACATTTCTCAATTCTAAAAGTAGTATTTGTTCAAAATGTTATGGTTTATCTCATCTTTAACACATGAAATCCTGTATTTCATTGCTTTACTAATTTATTTATAATTTATTTTTCACTCATGTTTTTAAGACATTTGAAAAAAAAAGAAAAAGCTTCACGTATGATTCGAACTCTTTCCATAGCGGAGGTTTGGTCCAAGACCAACCGCTTTTACCATGCACTACGCTACGAAGTATACGTATTATTAACGTCCATCAGTGTGATTTAAATGAACGGGATTGTTGAAGCATAATTTTTTTTCAGAAAAGTTCGATTTTCATATAGAATGGGTTCAGATTCCATTTTTTGGACAAATTAAGAGACTAGAAATTCAGGCAAATGCCAGTTAGTGTATCGAATAACCAATGATGTTGTCTCGTGCGGCAAAGAGGTGAAAGTTCAGCCGTCTCAATATGTTGTCAGAATCAATTTAAAATTCCTGATGTTATTAACTTATTAACCAATGAGAATCTATTCGCCATTAGACAGACGCTAATTTCGTAGCGCCAAAAATGGCACACCTTACTGAAAGTCCAAACTAAACTGGTAATGGTTCTAAAGAAATTTCAAATGTTAATTTGATTGTATATATTTCGAATTTCAGTGCCCTGCATGCAGTAGAATTTTTTGGTCTGTCTGTAACCGAAATGTCATGGAAAGGAACACCATGCATAGATCTACAGTGTATAGTGTCCGGCTGTGTGTGTTATAACCTTTTTTGTTATAAAGCTTTTAGATTTGTTTTCACTATATACATGTACACGTATTTAATAGCAAGTTCCACCTGGATTTCATGGTAAAATCATTAATGTTTTTTCCTTTCTGTGCAAATGTGTTCAGTTTTCAGTTTTTGAATGATTTGTTATATAAATTATCTTAATTTTATACAGAACACTATATTGGGTATTTTTTTGAATGAATTTTTATCTACTCGAAATCATGCAGTCGCCAGATATATTTGATACCTTTTATATTTGCATGTATATTACGCAGTATTTGTTCTAAGAGAAAATTTTAAATAGTGACTAAATAAACTTTTATAAAAATGGATTTTTCAATACACTGTCTCTGAAGCATTATGGAAATATGGTAAGTATATATCATTGTACCGTATTTATTTTTATATAATAAAATAGTGCATAATTGCAATTCGATAAAGGCATGAGAGATTTAAAACCATTCGTTATTTTCTTTTTGTGCCTCATTGACATACATCATTCAGACATAAGAACAGCTAGCTCCAGCATCGTCACATGCACACACACAGTCATTCATTCAAATGCATACATTCCTAATCATGGATAAAATCAGTCATTATTTTGTAGAGTTCCATCAACAAACACGCATTTTTGATATTTGACATTCAGTAACGCTGAAGAACATATAAGTGGATCATTTAAATATCGAGAAGAGGGCATATACAAGTTGAAATTTTAACCTCCCCCATATACATACTAGTATACGTGTAATGGTACAATAAATTCTACGAAGTTCGTACATTTTTTGAAAACTTAAATAATCGCGGAATCTCTCTTAGTCCCCCCCCCCCCCCCCAAACACATACCCCGCTTTTAATAAGGAACAGATGAAATCTATTCTCTTTCTCACTCATAAAGTTATCCCCAATACTGCTATTTGCTTTATATTATGCCAAAATTCCTATAATATCCAATTTGGTGCACTTACAACATTCGCCAAACCCGTATTTATATAAACGTTTTCAAATATATAGGAAAATTACACTGTTTTAATTTGAAATGCTTGTCTATTGTAATAGTGGTGTATTTTTAGTGTGAAGGTATTTTTGGGGGGTTTTTACCGATTTCTTTCCCATGTACAGTTGATAAATGAGTGCACAAGCGTCGGAAACAAATTGAAATTGAGTGAGGGGGTCTTATGTCACAAAACTCTTCTAACGGTCAAGCGCCCACACAAACTACTCTGAGTGTCTATTGAATACATATATACTGATGGACTTTAAAAACGCAACACCTAATAATATTTGGTATTTTAAATTTATTCATATATCTTATAAACTAATTATTTCTTGTATACATTCAACCATGCTTAATGTTCAGTGTTCTTTAATTTTTAACACCATTTTATTCACAAAAGGGGTACAACTGAAAAGAATGTCAAAGCAGGGTGCGTCAAAAATGTGGTTTTGGTGACTAATACCGTGTATGGCCTCCATTGGCACGGATTACGGCGCGAAGGCGACGTGTCATTGACTGGCAGACACTTCGAATTGTCCTTTGAGGAATATTCTGTCACCCCTGCTACAAGGCTCTCTCAAGTTCCTGTGGGTTCTGAGGCTGAGGCTGGCGTCTGCGCACACGTCTCCCCAACTCGTCCCACAAATGTTCAATCGGATTTAAGTCTGGAGACAAAGCGGACCAATCAAGGACGTTGATGCCGTTCGTTAACAGAAAATTTTGCTTTAATCTTGCCGTATGTGCGCGTGCATTGTCCTGTTGAAAAATAAGCCTGTTGGCTTGTCTAAGCTGCTGCAATAATGGTGCTAAAACAGGCTGAAGAATTTCGTCTACGTACCTCCTGGCAGTGAGAGTTACGTTCAAAATTACCAGCTGTGGTTTATCGCACCCCAGACCATGACGCCACCCCCTCCAAATCTGTCGCGTTAAAGTACACAATTGTCCATAAAACGTTCATGTAAATGACGGTAAACTCGACATCTGCCGTCTGCATTGCTAACATTAAACTTAGACTCATCTGAAAATACAACCTGTGTCCAATTCCGGCGTTGATTCAGATTCAGCCT